TCCTCGTCAAGGAGGTCCTCAGGAGCCACACGGAAGACCACCCAGTGGCGGGCATGATGGTGCACGTGGGAGATGCGACCATGGAAGGATGAGTGCCGCTCACGTGGGTCACAGAGTTGAACAGCCATGCCGAGGCGGATGGGATGCAGGCTGGGCTCAGCGAGGAGCCACTTGGAGCGTGCATGGGGGGTGTGGACGCGCGACGCAACAAGAACACGAGGTGCAGGCGGAGTGCCGGACAGTGAGGATGGAGGGGAGGTATCTGGGCGAAGGATACAGGACGCGGAGGTTAAACCGGAGGCAACGCTGACCCGGGAGAACAAACGGTGAAGCCGCAGACGGTCTTCACGCTCGACGAAGCCACCAGCCACAGCCGGGGGGCAAAAGGTAGACATGGGGGATGGTTGAGCGGAAGCAGGAAGAACACACTAAATAGGCGGGAGTAGGCGGTGATGGAGCCCATGGAAGGGTACGCTAGCAGGCCAGAGCGAAAGATGGGGGCAAGACAGCCGGTGGGCGAGGCAAAACAGGAGGCAAGGGAACCACACAAGCGAGTGAAGGGCAAGGGACATGGAGCAGAAAGAGTGAGCACAAAGGGAGGGTGAGGTGGGCCAAAAGAAAGACAACACTTAGATAGTGTTCAGATTGTGAGGTGAACGGTGTAGTCAAAAGCAAGCGCAATAACCTCAGCGCTTACTGCCGTGCAGACACAGACAATCGTCTTTGACGCCCACTCGTGCCTCGCCAGCGTCACAGAGTTACTATCTATGTCTTGCGTTCGCACGCACCAATGCCGTGATCAACAGTGATGTATTAACGGCATGGGTCAGATGTTGGGAAGTAGTCCATAAGGATCGATGAGTCAGGGAGTGACAGTATTAGCGAGTGGGAAAGCGAGAGGCCATCTACATGATGATGAATTACGAGAGACTACCGAAAGCAAACATGAACCGATAGGAAGTGGGCGAAGCCCCCCGCCCCCCTCCCCCTTCGTGGGAAACAATGGGGCAAGGTTCCCGGCGCAGAACACAGGACCATGACCTGTCGGAATCCCGAGTAAGCAGCGATACCCAAGAAGTAGGAGGGCAGTGACGCATCCGCGAAGTCGGGATACCCAGAGGCTAGGAGATGAACGAAGATAAAAGCAGAACTCACAAGTTAGCGCACCGGCGGCATGGAATAGCGCACCAGGCCATCGCGAAGGTCGGGCACAGCTTGCATGTAGGGCGCCATGACCTGCGCATGCTTGCGAAGGTAAATAGAGAAGGAATCACCCGCCCAGCGCCCCTTCGATTTGACGACATCGAAGGGTACACCACGAAGGAGGTACTCCAGCGTGCCACCAACGCGTATACCATGTCCCTGAATGGGATCAATACCCGCAGCCCGGGCAGCAGAGGTGAGGCGCGCAATGAAGGCGCGACGAGTTAGGGGACGCACACCCTTTGCATGGCGAAAAGCGAAAAGCGGAGCATCGAGCGGGAGGTCATTGATGAGAAGATGGGACGCGAGGGCCGCAGACGGGTCAGTGGGGCCAAGTTGCACCGCCCAGAAAATATCCTCCCCGGCCACAGGGGCCGCCTTGGTAGAGGGAATGAACAGGACTGTCTCCTCAAGATGGTTGCGATCCCGCTCCGTGCGGACGTCGGAGCGCTTGACATGACGAGTCGGGTCGAAGCCGTCAAGTGTTCGGACCGTGAGCTCGCCGACGCGAGCAACAGCATAGAAAGCAGACGTCAGACAGGCCCAAACCGCAGCGTCGAGCGGCTGCAGAAGCGACAATTGCCCACGCAGCGCAAGCAAGATATCCACAGTGTATGGCGGGCGCTTGCCGAGCCGAGAGGCCGGGGGGGAGAGCCGGTCGGCCGCTGACAGCATGGAGTCGGCAACATCGTGGGGAAGGAGCCAGGGACACCCATGAAGGATGTGCCATGCGCGCAACCCGTAGTAGTAGTTCCGGATGGTGCCCCCAGAGTAAGCGCCAGACACAGTGGCAAGGAATGCGAGCACAACGGCAGGGTGCGCTGGCGCCCGCTCGGCCTCCGAGATCTGCTTGCGATCGCAGACCACATGGAATATGAGAAGACCGGTACCATAAGTCTCCGAGGTAGACGCTGCCCACGCAAACGATAGGACGTCCTCGATGCGGCGAACGTCGGCCGGGGAGAGGAGGTCATCCGAGCCAGACGCGACAGGGGGTAGCTGCGAGGTCGGGGGACGCCACAGACGGAGACGTTGTCGGGCAAGAACATGTGGGCGGAGCGGCGATGGCACGGGCACAAGATCGGCAGGGTATGGCTGCAGCGGGCGAGAACCAGAGTACAGGGGAGGAAGGGGGACGTCAAAGCGGGGGTGCATCACGCCAATGGGCTGCACCCCACGCAAGCTCCTCCTGTCGGCGGGACGCCTCGAACTCAGAGGCAGCACGCGATCGGCCGGCAAGGCTGGCTGGGGGACGAGAGCGCCGAACAGCGAGGGGCAAGGGCGCAGCAAGGGGGGAATCAAAGTCGACGAGGAAGGGAGCGAGGTCGGTAGAGATGGGGATGGCGGGCAGAAGGAGGTGCGGCGGAGGGTAGATGCCGCGCGAGGGGCCATCAGCGGGATTGGAAGCGCTGCGAACGTACCGCGGGTGGAGCGCGCATTGCGTCGACTCACACAACGCGTGTATATGCTTAAAGATCCCGTTGACATGGGGGTTGCGGCTTCGACCGTTCCACCAACCCTCGACAACGCCAACATTATCGCCGTAGACTTTGAGGTGCTGGCCGGGAGGGGCCGTTCGCAGGACGTATCGCGCAAGGAGCTCGAAGCCGAGCGCTTCTGCCCATGCAATGTCGCGCCCGTCGCGATTCCAGTGGGGGCGAAGACTCCAAGCCCGCCAGCGCTCACCAATGACGACTGCGACACCCGTGCCGGAGCTGGCATCGGAAAAGGCAGCGAGGTCAGTGAGGACGACGGGACCGGGAATAGGCCGAGTGAGGGAGGGACGCTGGAGCATCTCGCACCACCAATCGAGGTCAGCTGGGAGCCCGCGTGGGGGGGTGCGCGGCATGAAGGGATTGTTGCCGAAAATACCCAACATGTGCTCGAGGTGAACAAGGTAGGCCCGACCGGCAGGCACAACCAAGGTGGTGTGCAGAAGTTTGCCGTAGAGTCGCTGGACATCAGCCAGGGTGTGAATGCGTGAAGATCGCCAGACCTGGATCGCCACAAGATACTTGTCCGCCTTGCGCCGCGGGACCCCCACCGTACGCTCCGCCAGGTCCCAGACGAAGCCCGTGAAAGGGAATGTCGAGGAGAAGGGAATATCCTTCCCAAGTTGCCAAGGGATGCCCAACTCCGCCGAGACACGATCAATGTCGCAGAACGCGTAGGTGAAAGAACAGTCGGGGCCAGAGCGAGAGGACAGGGAGGACAGGTCAGCGATAGGGAAGGCCATGTCCTCCACGAACTCGTTGGTGCGCCCGTCGGGGAGCAGGTCGCCGCCGAACCAAGTGCGACCACCCGAATGATGCTCGCCCGAGCCAGCGACGAGGTCACGCCACACGCCACGTTGAAGGTTGTAGTCGGCGAGGTGCTCCCGTCGGATGCGCAGGAAGACATGGTCGTCAACCCACTTCGCGATGGGTCCGATCCCGCGATAGCGCATGATGTCGGCGCCTGCATCCGCGACAGCACCATACAGGCCCCCGCTTGGCGCGAAGCCGAAGGCCGCATTGGTATCGACCATAAACGCATCCTCGCGGGAGGTCCGCACCACTGTTCCGGGCCACTGGGAGGGATGGAGAGGGATAGTGCGGTAAGCCTCAGCAACGTCACGAACAGCACCCTGAGAACCAGGTGGGAGACGAGCGCAAAGCAACGAGAAAGCTGTAAACATCCCCCACGTACAAGGAAATAAAGCAGGGTCAACCTGATGATTAATGGAGATGGTAGCACCAGCAGGGGAGTGGGGAAAAGAGAAGTTTTGGATAAGGCGAAATACATCAGTCTTGTGAGGCTTAGGTACAAGAGAGAGAGGAGAGGTATGAAAGGGGCCGAGAACCGATTCAATAACAGCACGAGAGAAAGGACCAATGTAACGGCCCATGGAAAGTTCATGATCCAAGACGCGGGCAAACCCGGAGCCATGAAGAAGGAGGGACTGGTTGTTAGGGGGGGAAAAGGTACGGAGGATAGGCGGAATGCCCGCGATAAAACCCTGACGCAGACCAGTAAGTAGGGAAGGATATCGAACAACAAGACCAGACGATACGAGAGCGGATGTCCAAGCAGCCAAAGGGTACGGCGAACAAGGCTCAAGCTCTCTGCGCAAGAGAGCACTTCGCAGCACCATGGTCGGGCTTTCCACACCCGGAGCACTCGTGGAGATGTGCGCGAGAGGTGTTCGCACACCCGGAGAAGCGCTGGAAGTCCGTGCAGAGGACAGCACCATCGGGGCTGACAATGCGCCCCGCGGCATTGCGAGAAGAGCGCGCGGGGCCACCGCTCCAGAGCGTGGATGAGCGGCACTTCGCGATGTCGCCAAACAGATGGGGCCCGAGACAGATGGCGCAGGTGGCTCGGCCGGAAGCTCCTGCGCCCTTCGAAAAACCCGACTCGCGGGCAGAAGAGCGCGACGGCGCGTAATCGCGAGCCGGGCGAGCCCGCGGCTCCGTCGCACGGCGCGCGGGAGGTGTAGCGGAGCGGCGCTCACGCACGGGGGGAGCACGGTAAGAGACACGGCGTGCCCGATCGTGTTCCTCACTCGCCGCAAGAAAGCGATCAAGCTGTGAGGATGGGAGGGCCCCAGGCGCAAGACGCGGCGCACAGGACACAATACGCGGGACGCAGGGACGGGACGTGGGACACGGGGTGATCACGCAGGACGAAGGAAGCAAAATGGCAGGCGCGAAACACCGACGCCACAACGCAAGACGCAAGGCGCAGGCCGGAACGAGCAAAGGGCGAGACGCAAGACGCAAGGCGCGGTACGCAAAAGGAAAGGCGATCGGAAGACGCAGGACGCGATGGGGAGAAGAAAGGTCACGAGGACGCGAGGGCACACAGGCGCAGGAACAAGAAGGAAAGAGGAGAAGTGAGCACAGTATGGCCAAGGAGTGGCGGTGCACGGACGTACCCGACTAATGCGGTCCTCATGGGCAATGCTTGCAATCTCCTGCAGCATCTCGTTGAGAAGGTCCTCCTTGATGTTGCTGAGGTTGTAGCCCTCATCCTGAGCAAGGCGCGTGTGCCAGTGGCGACGCAGACGGGCCTGGTACAGCAACAGCGCGTCCTTACCACGAGGCCGCCTCGTGAAAGGGTGCCGAGATAGCGTGTAGAAGAACGCCTCAAGCATGGCGACGTGCGCGGCGGGCCAGTCCGCCGCCTCGACAGCTAGCTGGAGCTCGCTGTTCCCAGCGCAGAACTGGTCCCAGGTGAGCTTCTCGTCGGGGACGGCCTGCCGAGACGCACGGTGCGCGGCGAGCGGTCGCAGCGCGAGAGTGTCATCAGTCCGGGTAATGCCATAGGCTTCCTCCGCCGTGGAGCGGTCGTTCCCGGCCGTGGCGCAGCCCTCGACAGTAAAATACCAGAGTTCAACGTACTCACCCTTCGCGAGCTTGTGGAGCGCGTAAGCGGACGGGCGCTGGTCCAAAAAGGAAGGCGCGTCACGATCGAAGTGGAGCGTGCCCAGCTGCGGGCGCCTCTTCTCTCGGGCGAGAAGGGCCTCCTCGGCAGCGGCATCGTCGGCGTGCTGACGGGCCTCTGCCTCGAGCAAAAGACGGTCGGCGTCGGCGAGGCGGTCGCCCTCGACTTGGGCAGCCCAGAGGGCCCTCTTGGCAGCATTGTGGGCAGACCAGATGGCGATCAGGTGCTCAGTCGCAGCGGCATCTGAGGCGACCTGGCCCGCCGCGACCAAACCCTGCCGCAAGATGCCATACTCGGGGTCAGCGAATTCAGGGCACAGCTGAAGGCCGGGGTCTGAGGCCAGTCGAGGAGCATCGGCCATGGCGGAGAGAGTGTGTGTAGAGGGAGGCGCAGACGGAGACGTGAAAAGGAGACGACAAAAGAAAGACAACACTTAGATAGTGTTCAGATTGTGAGGTGAAC